ATATTACATTGTTTGTTTCAATTAAAAATTCATATATAATCTCAGTGCATATCTCTCCGCGATATATTTAATATTTTCCATTTTAATACAATATAAAAATAATAATAGAAATAAAATAGAAAATGCGATAAAAGCGATATTCTGATATAAATTCTTTTTCGTCATTTTTATTAAAGAATCCCAACTAAAATATTCTCTTCAATTATTATGGCATATGTAATCGCAATTATTCGCTTAATTTTGATGATATTAACGTATCTCGTTAATTAGAGACAAGTTATGTAATTGATCTCGCGATGTAGATCGTGTTCAATTTTTAGCTGTGGATTAATTATCTGCCGAATCATTGCATATCTTGCGTTGTAATGTAAATGGAGAGACATAGCCGCGTTTCCATTGGGACTCGATGCACTTAAACGAGGTACATATCTTGCGCGAAACGTTCGCATAACTCACATAACTCGGCTCACGTAATCGTAGGCGAATAAACAATTATCGCAGTAATAGCGCCGGTCTTGTACAAACAGTCAATCAGCGTATTTGTTATCCGATTAACGGCCGCGACTAATGCGATCTTATTGAGCGAGTTATCGGATCGATCGACGGTCTGGAGCCATTGAGATTATCGAAAACAATGCACCTCACCGTTGTTTTAAATCTCTTCGCGATGCTGTCAGGCGGAACGTCGCTCTTTCGTTTTAGTTATGTGACTTAAAACGGCTCCAAATTAATCCTCCAGATCGATCACTCTCGGCGCGATCAAAAAGATCGACGATCGTATTTTATTTAAAGCACTCGAATGAAATTACCTTTAATATATTATCTACAATCATGAGGCATAACTTAAAAGTAACGTATGTATGAAATTATACAACCATAAAAATATCAGATTTTTAATATTTTTTGTGTTAGAGTTTGCAATAATGCGACAAAAATTTTAGAATGTCTAGTCGAAAGTAATTAATTCACGAAAGTAATTCAAATAATAATTTCAATTCGTTGTTTATTGATTTTGTTAGACGAGCAATGAAAATCCAAAAATCCATTTTTTACATTGTAGAAATTACTACAACAGAATTCTATCACATATTTTATGTTCTTTCTTTATTTTTAATCTTAACAGCGATAAATATAAATTTATTATTATAAATTTATTACATTTATATACTGTATAAAGAAAAAAATAATAATTTTTAATAGTGAGTAAAATATCTTGATTAATGATGGAAAATGTTAAATGCGAGGTGCCGGAGTTTACTTCATAAGTGTAATAAATATCAGCACTTTGGTATATCGCGACCGCGACCGGACTTGGTACTTATTTCTCGCACGACCAGCCGGGCCTTAATGGAGCTGTTGGGCTGTACATGCGTTTTCTTGCGAGAGCGTAAGCAGCTTATAACGCGCAGCCATGCCGTCCAGAACAGCAGCAGAGTGGCGAGAAACAACGGAAGCGGATAGCTTTTGGCAGGCTCGCCCGAGCGAAACTTATATCCGGCGAAAACTTTTCTCTCTCTGTTCCGACGCATCGTCCGCCAAAAGCGGCGTCTCGGCCTAAGTTGCTGAGAAGTTCTTGATTATCGAGTGTCCCGACCGACATCCAACAACTGTTCAATTACTTTCATTGGTGAACGTCCGAGAGAACATCCCGATCTTGCCCATTCTTAATGCTGTAGGTAATGCCGGAGGCAGCTACTTTGATTTTTAATTCTCTTGCGGGAAATCTTATCCTTCGTTCCCTTTCGAGTGTATTTTAGCGGTATTTTAATTCGAGAATCGGTGCTGCGAAACGTGATCTTAATTAAAGCTAAATATATTATAAAGTCAGGAAGGGCGATGGCGCGCGATGAAATTTTTACTCGGGAAGAGGCGGGAAATGGCTGCAAATTGATCAAAGAATCAAAGATGAAAGAAAACTTCTGAAAAGCTATATATTTATCCGCGATGCTGCATTATGTAGGCCATTTCGCACACGAGAATCGAGATTGAACGGGCCGACAGCTGCAAAAATAAATGTAATTTCTTTTCCGATATGAGGGATAAACAAATTCAGTTTGCGCAAACGGCGCGCTTACAGGACTACGTTTACAGCTCTGCACTCTCGTGGCTCCTTTCTCCTCGCTTATTCCGCATGTGTATATTGCCGAGGAGAAAACCTTTGCGTTTTTCTTCGCCTTTCGACGTCATGATTCGATGTGCCGCGGGAGGAAGCGGGTTTCTCTAAGAAACGCGAGCCCGTGCGTATCACGAAGATTACGATTTTGCATAATGGACGTAATATCGGATCGTATGAAATTTGAACAGCTCAGGCGGAACGCTCGATATATCTAGGCCCTCCTCGCTATTTGCAGAGAGCAATGCCCAAATATGCCGACACTCGAAACCCGGGCGGGGAAACTGCCGCGTATAAAAGCATGCAACGTTCCGGAGACGCCCGGAGCACCGCCCGGGGGTGTGATAGGAAGCCGGGGCTTACGTAAGCTGATAAACCATTTCTGATACCCTCGTATGGTATATCGTATCGATACTCTGTCTGCAACACGGACACAGAAATATCCGAAAGCGAATTAATTCATGAAAATCACATTTCTCGCTGATGTAGCTGACACCCAGCGTTATAAATTCTATATTTATTATTCATTATTGCATGTCTGAAATATCGGTTATTTAAAAATTCGATATATGAGTATAATTGTTTTTCAAAATAGCATCCGTCTAATAACATTATTAAAGACACGTTATTAATTTGTATTTCGCGAGGTAAAATAATGTCAGGAAAATTGATGAGAAATTTGATACGAAGATTTGCAATAGATGACTAATATATTAATTACATTCAAGCAGATATTTTAGCTCTTGTGTTTCGGAGAATTGAAGACCAAAATCTACTACGAGAAGAAACATAAATGAGAGCTTTGAAGCGAAAGACTAAATTTTATAATGTAAAGGATCATATTAAATATAAATTGTAAAATAGTCATTGATAATTACAAATCCTTCATTCTTTTCTCGGACGTCTAATTGTAATCAATTTTCGCTATTACTGTTCTCTCATAGTCAAGGCTTTTTGTTTAAATTATTTTACGGTCCATCTTTTTATATCTCGGGGAAACTAAAAGAAGATAATAGCCTAAAGAGGGAAGTCTCGTTTTTCCTATTTTATATCCGGTTTTCGTGTTGTTGGATTTCTGTGTACGATCGCGACGTAGAAACGAGTTCACCCGGATCACTTTTATCGGATCTAGAAGACGACGAAGATCGGGACGAAGAGTGTCTCCGGACGAATCGAGGTAACCTGGTTCCTCGTAAACCGGAGTCGGCCGCGGGCTTTTTTCCCCATCCTCTTTTTGCCGGGTCGACCGCACGCGTCGCGAAAGACAATGGGTTGCATTGTCTTTCACGGGCACAATATGCGCCCACAATGTGTGCGCGCAAACCCATCCCGCCTCACCATTCGCAGCACGTTGATGGGATTACGGCGTTCTTATGCACGACGCCCGTAAATTTGGCGTTGCTCGCCGGATAATTTTGGCCACGTCGGCTCGTCGGAGAGGAAGAAGTATCCAAGGGATCGAAAACGCGGTGTAGGAAAAAAGGGCATCCTAATCAAAGATTCTTTACACATTTATGCAAGATACAATTGAGCGTCTTCAGTATGTTGAATAAAAGTTAATTTTTAAATTTAAGAATATGTAATAATGATTTCATTAAAAACAAGATTTCTCTTAATGGATTTTCTTATGATTTATTATGTGTAAATAGGACTGTATTATTTATAATTAAAATTTAATTGAAATATTCAGTACATGTTTATTGTGCATAATTGAAAGACTTGTGAATTGGTAGTAAAAAATAATCTGTCGATAAATTAAATTTCTATTAACGAGAAATCCCGATCGCGACATTTTTTGTAGAAATAAGATTCTAGTTGATTATTAATTTCTGATTATAATTATATAAATATTTTTAATCGCAAACACACGCACACGACGCAACATTTAAAATTCCTGAGATAAAACAATTTATAAAAAAAGTTAAATAAATTTCATTATCTCTATCAATATAATTTTAACTATGAAAATTTAATTTTAAAGCTGTGCAAACTGCAAACTATAAATCATGATAACAATAATAATTATGAATTGTACATATAATGATCCTTGATGCGATAAGATATAAAATGCATAATATATACTATACTTTGTCTGCAATTTTTGCATAGAATCATGGAATACAATGGAACATAATCTTTTCAAATCTTTTTAGATTTTTCGATAAAAAAAAAATTAAATTGAGGGACCATTAGACTGCTTTTCGAACTCTTCATCAAACCGTACGAATAGTCGATATGGTTTGCTGTTGACTGTTCTGTATCCACAGGCTGGAACGGTGATTGCTGGACGACAAGCAGCTAACATTGTGCCCGCGTTGGACCGCGTTTCCTCCTCTTCGAGCTATCGAGTTCTGATCTCGTTGCATGCTCGGCGCATACCGCGCTGTCGAATATTCGCTCTCTCTGTCTCTCTTTGATCTGCTCGTAGCGCCAAAATCTCCGCGCAGATAAGCGCTGACACGGACGACGGGGACACCGCGTCGATGCTCCCGGGTCTTCCTCACGGGCGAGCACGACAATGCGCAATCTAGTTAATGGAATTGCAGGGGGAGAGCAGTGCCGTTGCTGTGCGATGCGCCCGGTCTGTGAATGGCCGAATAAAAAGCAGCAGCGAGAAAGGTGCATCGACGCGGAGATTGGCACATTCCCGGTCGCCAGTGTTTCCCCCGACGAGGACACGTACTGCTGTTCCTCTGATCACGATGAGCTACGGGCGTAATGTACGGGAACTCGGATCCAAGAGAAACCTTCCTGTCCTTTTACGTACGCTTTACTCGTATGATAGTCCGAAACGAATTCGCTTTAAAATTCTCTAAGAGAACCTTTTAAATTAGTTATCACACATCAACGTCTAACATTTTTTAAATTATCTCTCGAATATAACTTTTAATTTCGAAAGGAAACAATATTTTTTTATTTTTGAGAGATTTAATTATGTTATTGTGTGTTTAAACAATTTTTTGTTTAAATTTACAAACCATCCACGCAGTGGGACTTTGCTAAATTAAATTGATTAATAGCTGAGATATCATCAAAGTGTTTTGATCAGATAAATCAGATAAATTTTCATAAGTTTTAATAAAATACAGTTGAGAAGTTGCTGTTTCAAACATTCAATTATTATACATATAGAAATTATTTTATTTATGATCTGGACGAATAACGTAATAATTTTATAATTATCGCTGAATCTTAAGGAGATAAAAAAACTTTCTTTACATGTAAATTGAATATTAAAATTATTTGTTGAATCACGCATTCAATATGCGTCCGTTTTATCTCTTCCAATTCTGTTCAGTTCACGGGGAAAAACACTCGTAGAGATTAGAGAATAGCCTTGTGTTTTTGCTTTCCACGAAAGTATTTCGTAGAATTACTCGCGTACATTCATGCAATGTAGAATTGCGCTGCATTTCCAAAACACAAGACCGAGATTATCCTCGGAAGGAAGACAAAACGCAAAATCAGCGTCGGAGCTAAGATTTTTGCGCACTATACGAAATAGTAATTCCTTGAAGCATTTTATAAATCCGTTTTTAATGAAACTTGTACGCTGCGAAGGATTGATTCTAATCTATCATTCTTTTGTTTTCACTACAAAAGTCTCCTCCCCTCCGTCTCCCAGAATATTTTTAAATTTTGGATTTGAATTTTGAATTTTGAAAAGCGGTTTTCTTCACTACCGCAGTGACATTATTTTTTTTAATCGATAGCTCTAAAGATATCCCCTGTATCAATTGAAATGATAGATTGCTGAATCCATCTGGAATTGATGCGTTCGTCGTGCTTATTTCCCCTGACGGATAATCTACGGGATGGATCACGATATCATTCCACGCACGCATGAATTTATCGCATCGCCGTTGTGAATTTTTTGTTCCTTTTTCGCCACGATTTAGATATGATCATGCGCGAACTCGCGCGATTGCCGATGAAACACGTACGAAACATTCGCGTATTTCCATACTATATACATACATTTATTACGCAAATTCACGACGTATACGTAAATGCAAAGTGCCATTCGGAGCCGCGCAATAATCAATCCATTATAAATGCATAAAACGGACGTTTGTTAGGGGATACGAATCGCGCCACCCTCCCGGCGGCGGTTCGAGTCGTGTCTTGCATATATTTTTTCCGGTTCGATACAGGAGGGTTGACTGTGCATGGCTACCAGTAGCGATATCGGAGAGGCTATAGCTCTGTCAAAAAATTCGTATGGAATTTTAACGCCGTCGATATTTTTGCGAGAGGGACGGCGCGTGATATAACATTTGGCGATTGAAAAAAAACCCCGAAAAGGATGGTGCAGCTTGACTTTTTCATATTGAAATTTCTTACGTTGTCGTATTTATTTTATACATTATCCGTGTGATGTATAATTTTTAAAAATTAAATGTCTCAAGAAGAGAAATTAATGTAACCGTGTTCCATAATATGTTTGAAGAACGTTCGCTATCTTACCAGGTATGACGTACGTAGACCATGCTATGAAAGTTGTGGCGTCCGAATTTGTCGTGCGGCTAGTAATCCATTAATCTACGAAATTGTATACCCGCGTGTGGAAATGTATAGCGTTATACGAATATCAATCAACGCGGTAACATGAAATTCGCGAATTAATTCCTGTCAAAGAATCATGTACCGATTTATCATCGAAATCTTTGCCAAAACGAAATATTTTTTACGTTTACGATCAAATTATTTTACGTTTATGAAAGTATAATAAAATATATATTTAATATAATAAAGTGAATAGATTAATTGTCACTCATGAGGAATAAAAAATAGATCTTATAAATACATTAACGTTGAGACATTTAGGAAAGCAGGACTTGTGCACTAAATATAATCGATGTTAATTTACAAAACATGAATAATCTATGAACTTTTTATCTCTCGACAATAATGAGTTAAAGCGTAACTGATTTAAAAGGGTTTCCTAGGAAATATTCCATGTAAGTAGTGAAAGTAAACGTTTAGGTCGCGCAGTCGTAACTTATGAAACTTAGAATTAATCAAATTCTGTGCGCTTTATCTAAAAGAAGAATAACGATTGCGTCGGAAATATGTCTCTTCGTTAGATAATTCAGGATAAGTTAAATTTGACGTTTTGTTATCGCAGAATGGTGGCGCTAAGGATGGCTATGATATGAATCTCGGTCCGGCCTGGCAGAGGGGCTACACCGGCAAGGGTGTCGTCGTTTCGATTCTGGACGACGGCATCCAGACCAATCACCCTGATTTGGCGCTCAATTACGATCATCAGGCCAGTACAGATATTAACGACAACGACGATGATCCGATGCCGAGGGACAATGGCGATAATAAGCATGGCACTCGATGTGCCGGCGAAGTCGCTGCCGTCGCCTTCAATCAGTATTGCGGTGTCGGAGTCGCCTATAACGCCAGTATCGGAGGTAAGTTGATTTATATGAATTGAAAATAATAAGAATAAATAATGCGTAATTAAATTATTATATCCGAAATAAAAAGGGGAATAGTGAAACAGCATCTGAGATTATTTTTTATTATTTTTTAGATGTATAATTTGGTAACAAAGGTTGACGCAAGAAATTTATAGTGAATGATAATTATTTTTGAAATAGAATCTAAGTCAGTCTTGCTTGTTGATTTTTGAGCAGTTATTTATATTAAAATATTCGCAAGATATTTTAAAAATGTCAATACGTTACACGTAACATAGATATATAGTATGAAATATTCTGAGAAAATGTTATAAAAGATTTATGTATGAAAGAATCGTGATTCGTATGATGCATTTTAATTTCGAATATATTGTAAGAAACATTTTAATTTAAATTAATACTTTTCTGATATCGATTTCTTAATTCAGATTGTACCATGTTCGTTAAATTAGGCCGTTATTTAAAAGAATTATTTAAAAGATTTATTTAAAAATTGAATTATCGTCTTAAATTACGTCCGTATATTTTGCAGATAACGCGAAAATTGAATGAAGTGCATATAATGTATACATCTATAGTATATCTATAACGCATATATAGTAGAGATCAATATTTCCTTTTCCTTACTCGTGCGTTTGGTAAACTAGAAATTGGTAGAGCTATTTTATGTTCTGACGGATTTTGTTGAAATTTGAAATAGGTTGTTACCCAGGTATGTTAGTATTTCAGATGATGAGAGTGCGCTCATCTCAACTCGCACATATAAATATTGACGATGCATTGGCTGGTGTAGACAGATATATAATAGTAACAGATATATTAAAGTCTTTTGTTCGTTTAATATTCAAACTACATCTGATATTTTTTGGCTTATTTTTAATCTTGTTGCATTTAATTTTATTATTTAATATCCAGACGTCGCACATATTAATGCCAACGATGCATTGTCTCGTATAGACAAATATGCTAGTAAGAGATATATTAAAATTTTCTGTTTATTTAATATTCAAATTAAATCTGATGTTCTGTGGCTTATTTTTAATCTCGCTGTATCTAGTTTCATTATTTAATAACCAAATGTTATAATCACATTCAACATTCAAACCGAGCCTGACGTTCTTTGGCTTATTTTTAAATCTTGTTGCATTTAATTTCATTAGTTAATACTCAGATGCCGTACGGCGCATTTTTTGCCGACAACAATGTTTATTTTCGCCGTTAATTAAAGGAAAAAACGCGAAATTGAGAATAGCCTCTGCAAAAATGTTGTTGTTGTTAATACGAGCGCGATAGATTATCGTCGCCAAGGAAGATTGACGCTAATTATTAGTCCGCGGTATATTCGAGCCGCCGTCAATCCTACATCTGCGAAAGCACCTCTCGTCGATTCTGGTAATCGCTTAATGCGCGATTTAAGAAAAGGGCTCTCTCTCTCTCTCTCTCTTTCTCTCTCACGTCGTCGTTGTCTCGAAAATGTTATTTATCTTTTCTTCTACCGAGTGAGCGAATCCTTCTGGGACCGTTCCAGTGCTGACTTAGCCGGCGAATCGTTCCACGGAAATAAATAGTGCAGCGGCCGCTGGAAATGTCAGGTCTGCCGGTGGTCGCTTTATCGTCTCGACTTGCTGAAGAATAGGCCAGGTTTTCCGGGCGCTCGATGTCCGACTCGATGCTATCGAGCTATATTAATTCCGTTAACCCACTTCGAATCGAAACGAACGTCCGTAAGCCGTCGGGGCTTACGACGAGTGGAACAGAGCGAGGCCGAAATGATAGCGCGGAACGATACAGCAGCGTTAACCGGATATTGAATTCGAGAAATTGATGGTAGTAGGCAAGCGCGCTGCGCAGCAAAATTAGAAATTTCGATATAGCGCCGACGAGAAATTTCGTTAGAGCCGCGAGATACGGTGGTTTTCGCGATAACCGTGGTGGCGAACGTCGCGATTGCAATTAACTGTCGTTTTTGCTATTTGTACACTCTTGAAGGATCGAAATGTAACGAGATTAAAATATTCGTCGATTATTTTTATTTGAGGATTTTTAATTTGTGAATACTTTAATTTGCGAATATGATCTTAAATATTGCTAGGTGCGAGACTAACGTGATTTATTTTAATATTTGATAAAATATTTTGTTTTGACACACAGCGTTTGAGATTGAAACCGGAAATTCAAATCAGACTCAATTTTAACATATTAACATAGTTGCAGTAATCAAATAATCATTATTCTTCATTGTTTAAAAATAGAACAAACAGGTTGTTGGAATGACGTAAATTTATACTCATCAAAAGATTAATATTAAATTTATGAAAATCCAATTGTACGTAAGGTAACGGAATTCTTAGACAGACGACCAAAAACCGAAAGATATAAATGGAAAATGAATTAAAATCACACACAATTATACTGAAAATATTCATCACGAACGAATGTAACATTATTTGCGTAAAATTTCCCAAAAACTGAGAAACTAAAGAGTTGGATTAATTGCTGGGTTGAAGTATATATATTCTGCACTTCTTTTCGCTCTTTGCATTTCAGCAGTTGCTTCTCAGCTATTCCTAAAATCGATGTTAGCAATATTTGCGGATTCGTACATGATGATCCCGCAGTGAGATAAAATCACGGCACGCGCGAGAGAGAAAGTGAAAGACGGAGAAGGAGAAGGAATACTTACTCACGCACATATCTCCCGTGTTCTCAGGCGTGCGAATGCTCGATGGCCCGGTAAACGACGCCGTCGAGGCCAGAGCGCTGGGATTGAATCCTGATCACATCGACATATACAGCGCCTCCTGGGGTCCCGAGGATGACGGCAAGACTGTTGATGGTCCGGGCCCTCTCGCCAGGAGGGCATTTATTTACGGAGTGACGAGCGTAAGCTACATACATCGCGTATTTTCTGCGCTCGAAGCGTCCACGAAGCGAAGAGATCAATTTATTTTCTGTCGCGAGAGCTTTCCCCTCGACGTTTTATTTTATTACTTCGGAAGGATATAAAGCTAAACCTCTTCTCGACGTCATTGACATCGCGACGGCAAATTTAAAATAAAAATTATCGCTTATAAGCGCGAAGGCTTATTATTATTTGTATCTTTTGTTCGATTTTTCTTCGATTTTAACGATTACATTTGTTCCTCGAAATACTAGTATTGAGTATCAGTCTTGTGAAATATGAACAGTAAAAGAAAATTAAATTTTTTATCTAAATTGATTTAATTACGTGTTGAATTATTTTTCTCGATGAAAAATAAATATTAATTTACCTCGGATAATAATTTGTTTAAAATAGTACAAAGTTACAAATTGTTTTTTCCTATTGAAAATTCTATTTTTCGTAAACTTTTCACAAACTAAATAATATCGTATATTATTGAAATAATTTTTTACACACACACACACACACACACACACACACACACACACACACACACACACACACACACTGGGATATTGTTAAATTAATTCAGATTTTTAATTTTTTGAAATAAATACTCTCTAGTTAAAATAATACAGTTTCAAAATAGCATCTCTTATGAAAAATTTGCTTTATATTCCATTCCATTTGACAGAACCAATTATTCTTGATTATAAAATTTTCATGAGAAAATATTTATTTCATGAAATATTATACCCGAAATTATCCTTTCTGTAATTTATTCAAAATTATATGGTTATTACCGTCGTAAATTCTGTTATTTTATAAAAAGCCACGTATATCCTATCGCTTCGTTGGTCATGAGGTTCATTTCTTTTTCGTCGCGAATATCCCCGGTATCTCCTTGTTTCCACGCAGGGTCGCAAGGGTAAAGGCTCGATCTTTGTGTGGGCGTCCGGTAACGGCGGCCGACATACCGACTCGTGCAACTGCGACGGCTACACGAATAGCATCTTCACGCTGTCGATATCGAGCGCGACACAAGGCGGCTACAAGCCGTGGTATCTCGAGGAGTGTAGCTCGACCTTAGCGTCTACGTATTCGTCGGGCACGCCTGGCAATGACAAGAGCGTCGCCACCGTGGACATGGACGCTAAGCTGCGCCCCGATCACATCTGCACGGTGGAACACACCGGGACATCCGCATCGGCGCCGTTGGCCGCCGGCATCGCTGCCCTCGCTCTCGAGGCGAATCCCACGCTGACGTGGCGAGACATGCAATACCTAGTGGTGCTCACCTCAAGATCAGAGCCGTTGAGCAACGAGCCCGGCTGGATACTGAACGGCGTGAAGAGAAAGGTCTCCCATAAGTTCGGCTATGGTCTGATGGATGCGGGCGCTATGGTCAATTTGGCCGAACAGTGGACCAACGTTCCACCGCAGCACATCTGCAAGTCCGACGAGATCAACGAAGAGAGACCGATTGATCCCACGTACGGGTACACCCTGAGCGCATACATGGACGTTACCGGGTGCGCTGGTTCTTTGAACGAGGTGCGGTTTTTGGAGCATGTCCAATGCAAGGTAAACATCAGACTCACATATCAGAAAGAGTCTCCCACCAATTTTGATAATTATCGTAATTGCTAATTTTTAACAAGTGGTTAAAAGTGATTTGACAAATACCGATAATCATAGTCAATCATTGCTTTTGTAATTTAGAAATTATTGTTCTCACGATTAGTAGCAATGTATTAGTATGATTTTTTTAATTATTTTATATTTATTTTAATTACATTATCGATTTTGAGAATTACTATTAACTAACTAATTTGCTTGTGTTCTGCTTATATTATAATTAAGTTATTTTAAACCGAATTTGTATTCTCGAAACAGGTTTCCCTGAGGTTCTTCCCTCGAGGAAACTTGAGACTTTTACTGACCTCACCGATGGGCACAACGTCAACGCTGTTGTTCGAGCGGCCGCGCGACGTCCTCAGCTCCAATTTTGACGACTGGCCGTTCCTCAGCGTACACTTCTGGGGTGAAAAGGCTGACGGTCGATGGACCCTGCAGATTATTAATGCGGGGAATCGACACGTCAATTCACCAGGTAAATCCTTTTTATCCTTTTTATATTATTTATTTCTCAATAAATTCTATAAATTATACACATACGGCTTGCATATGCAAGATTGCTTTCAAAAAGATCAAATATTAACTTTTAACTGCAAAATAGGACACTTTATTTTATTTAACTTTGTATTCAATACTCAATCATATTTTGTTTTCTCTGACCATATTTATTCAGAGATTATATTTCAAATTAATATTGGCATTGATATTAAACAGTTTACCATTGAGATCGAATCCATTGATATACATGTTATTGTTCTTGAGATCATAAATTACAAGAATAGATTGCAATTAATTAAATGGAATTTTAATTTTTATCAGAATAATTCTAAATCTAAAATTCGTATTATTTTCAATAATCGAGAATTTATTATTATTATTGATTTTATTTCAACATTATTTTTTTTTAATATATGCATTTAATACCATCATATACCAAAAACCATCACTCGGTCTTTTTGTTATGTTGTAGGCATCCTGAAAAAGTGGCAGCTGATCTTCTACGGCACATCAACCAATCCGATCCGGATACGCACACGGCAATTTAACCCGGTACATTCCGCGTACCTTCCCTCCCATTCCGTGCGTTATCCATTCACGGTAGACGATGATCCGCTACAATTGTCCGGTTATCCGGGCAACAAGGACTTCTTTTCTGCGTCTACCTTTCAGAATTACCAGGGTCCGTTCGCCGCCGCCGCCTCGAACCTACAGGCATCCGTGGCCACTCTGGACGGTTCATCAGCGCCGATCCTGTCGAACCACCTACCTGGCGACGTCTCCTCGGCATCTGCCTTTGACTCACCCTCGGCGGCATCATCCGTGCAAGGGGATGGTTCTCTCGACACTACCAGGAGGATACTGCACGACTGTGATCCCCAGTGTGACGCGCAGGGCTGCTACGGCAAGGGCCCGACGCAGTGTGTCGCCTGTAAAAATTATCGTCTCGATAAGTAAGTAGACGAACTTAGAGCTTTAGATTAATACGCAATGGACAGTTGCCTTGTAGAGCTGAACATTTTTGAAAATATGATTATTAGCATTTCTTCGCTAATTCTTCAATATGAATTAATATGTATCAAGAAAGGATCATAAATTGTTATTCTCATAAAAGTTTTATATATAAATACATGTACACAATATATATATATATATATATATATATATAAAATTTATATTTAATGCAGTTATGCAACTGCCAATTGATAACACTAATATTTCTTAATAAAACTAGTAATTTTACAATGCTACGAGACTATGGATTATGGCGGTAGGAGCCTAAATATAATTTGCTCTATTTGGGAAAGTAAATAATAATACGTTATATACGTAATAATAATAGCATTACATATATTGGTTGAACTCTTTGTTATGATTTAATATTTAATCAGAATATTTAATATATAAAAACGTGCATTATTAAACAAATCTTTTTTCATATTTCATATTTATAATTTGTATATTTTACACGAAATAATTTAATGAATTCGTCAATTTTTATTCTACTTTATGTCTACAACGACCCTCTTTAATAAAAAAAGCGCTTTAGAAACAATGCGAGGGGTCTCTTATCTCTTTTTTAGTACTTGTGTTAGTCGTTGCCCGCCAAGGAGCTTCCCTAACCAGGGTGGCGTTTGCTGGCCGTGTCACGAATCCTGCGAAATTTGCGCGGGTGCAGGTCAGGATTCCTGCCTGTCGTGTGCTCCCGCTCATCTTCGGGTCACCGATCTAGCGGTTTGTCTTCAACAATGCCCGGAAGGCTATTACGAAAGTATGTAGAAAATAAAAAAATCAACTCATATATTCTCATTTAGTTATATATTTTTTTATATTAGTTATATTTAGTTATATTTAGTTATATTTTTTTTCTAATTTCTTCTTAAAATTGGTACTGAATGGTGCGATATGATGACTTTTGCATTTTTCCATGCAGATACCGAGAACAGCACATGCGTACCGTGCGAGGCCAATTGTGCCAGCTGCCAAGACAGACCAGACAAATGTACCAGCTGTGAGCATCATTTAGTGATGCACGAGAACAAATGTTATGCCGCATGTCCACTCTACACCTACGAGACGCAAGATTACAATTGCGCACCATGCCATCCTACTTGCGAAACTTGCAATGGCACGGCGGAGAATCAGTGCATCGCTTGCCGATCCGGGCTATTTGCTTTGAACGGTAAACGTACAATTTGTTAGGTCGATAAGTATCAAAATCGTAACATATCCAGTATAGTAAAATCTAGTATTTAAAAATTTAATTTCAATATATAGTCTACTTTCCAGATAATTAGAAAGATATTTAATAAGTTTTTTAATTAAAAAAATATTTTTTATTTAAATGTAGGAAAGATTTGAACATTATATTTGAGGGAGAAATTACATTAATTGAATTATATGTAAAATATATATAATCTTTAAATAACATAAAAGTTAGACTAGTTTTATATATTTATCTAAGTTTACACGAAGAGATTTAAATTATTATCCAATGCTCTGCGCAACCGATGATCATATCCGGTTCAAATGTTGTAAAGATAATTAGTTTCTGGTAATTGATCTCCTACAAATGTGTTGTAGGCACGTGTCGCGCTTCGTGCCCGGCGGGTTATAGCGCTGACAAGAAGCGACGCGAATGCGTGGCATGTCCGCCCGGCTGTGCGACCTGCAGCACGTTGAGTTGCACCAGCTGCATCGAGGGCTGGAGCCTGAACAAGAAAAGCCTGTGCGCGCCCGAGACTCGTAGCAATTGCAATATAAACCAGTATTACGAGAATGGTCAATGCAAATCTTGTCACTCGTCCTGCGAAACCTGTGCCGGCTCCACGGAGGAACATTGCATATCTTGCCCAAACCCATTACTCCTCCAGGGTAAACGTTGCGTGTCTCAATGCGACGATGCATATTACTCCGTGGTGCAACCTTCGCGACCAGTTTGTGTCCCTTGCTTACACACTTGCAAGAGTTGCGTTTCTCGCTTGAACTGCACGGCATGTCAAGATGGGCTGCAGCTGCAGAGCGGAGAGTGCAGATCATCCTGTGCATCAGGGTAAGATAAATAATCAGCATTAGTTAAATAAATTGAAATAATAAAATTGAGAAAATAATTGATATATCTTTTGTTTCCTTTTTTTCGGTTTCTAGTTTATTACAGCGACAGAGGTCAATGCGCCAAGTGTTACTTGTCGTAGTAAAACATGCTCGGGACCTAGAAGAGATCAATGTGTCACTTGTCCAAGAGGATGGCAACTGGCGGCTGGCGAATGTCATCCTGAATGTCCAGAAGGATTCTTCAAATCTAACTTTGGTTGCCAGAAATGTCATCATTATTGCCGCACATGTAAAGGTGAGTTACAATTAGATACTAGCAATCAATTAAATTCTGTGTTTCTTATTTTAACGGAAAAATTTGTTCCAGGTGAAGGTCCGTTAGAATGTACTTCCTGTCCACCTCACTCGATGTTGGAAGGCGGATTGTGTATGGAGTGTCTAGGCGCGCAATATTATGATTCATTAACACAACTTTGCAAGAGTTGCCACTCCGATTGTCGCAGATGTACTGGTCCCGGCAAATTCAGTTGTGCTGCGTGTTCACCGCCATTACATTTGGACAAATTGAATAATCAGTGTGTTCCCTGCTGCACGGGCAATGAGAAAGGACCTCAAGCTGAGGAATGCTGTCTCTGTGATCCAGAAACCGGTAATTTTTTATTCTTACATCTTAATTTTATTTTGCAATAAAATTCATAGAATTTTCAGAGAATTTTATCAAGAAAGATATAATTTTTTATGCGCAAAATATAGGTTTTTTTTTTTTATTTTAGAATTAATATTGATATAACATTTTTACATTATAGCTTTTATTATTATAAATATATTCTTATATTATTATTATTATTATTAAAACTGTATTTTTAATATTTGTAGGCGGCTGCAGGAATAGCTCACCGGCTGGAAAGAGGAGGGTACCAGGGACAGAATTCTCGTCCAATACGGCGATCTCTGAGACGTACAACAACTATGGTAGAACAAGTAGTAGCGATTCAGCTTCGCTTGCCGTAACAGCAGCCACAACCATGGCAGTTGCTATTTGCTTAGCGTCGGTTGCATTATTCGCAATGATATTTGTCGCTCTTCAGGTATATATAATTTAAAAAGAGATATGTTACATATAGATATGTATTAGAATATTATATTTAAATTTATAGTAGATGTCTTTTATTTATATCCAGAAAATCCAAAATTAAATGAGGAAAGATAAATGCATGTGCATTACTATTTAATTCGCAGGCTTGGTCCGGCAGAAGAGAGACCAATATGGGATATACGCAACTCGCTGTGAAGGTAGAACCGTCCGAAGACGCGGATGCCGATGACGCAACAGAACTGATGACCTAGATTTCGTTAGCGGTGACGTAGCTAATGACCTTATCTCGAAGAATTGCAGGGAGATCGAAGAATCTCGATTGTGATTGGTTCGCGAGTCAAAAGTTACGTGTTTTTGCATTAGCAAAAAATCCAAGGATAGCGCGTATATGTGATGACGAGAAAAATGATAAACGATGGTGAATACGTAGCGGGGAAGAAAGAGTTGAAGAAGGAGGAGGAGCGAGTAAAAGAAGATTCGTCGAAAACGTGATAGTAAAACTCCGTAAAGTATTGTATGAATGAACAGCAAAAGAGGAAGAGAGAGAAAGAGAAGGAGTGCGAGTAAGCGTGATTGTTGTTTACTTGGCAATGATACGATCATGTGAATGTGCGAATGTACAAGGAATGCATTTTAGCTAGAGATATACGTTTTGCCCATCATCATTGTCAAGTGCGTTACCGATACTATTGCCGCATACCAAGACTCTTCCAACACGGACGGTGAGTCGAAACACCGAGAAAAAGGGTGAAGGACATTATGAAGTGCCTGATTAGTGACACCCTTGTTTCCACACCCTTTCGCGTTCCCCCTCCGACGCTTTCTGTCTCTGAAGTAACGCCGGGCCTTCGTCGATTATATCATTGTCGCGTGTATTCACGAACAAATAAAACCACAGCCAAGCGACGGATAACGTGAATACGTTCCAATCGTTGCGCGTTGCAAGAGTCGAGAGAGTAATCTAGTTCGTTTAATAACATTCTTTAACTGATTATCGATTTTCTTCGCGCAACTTTTTTCCTTGAATCGACAACCATCAAGTTATCAAAGGGAAACCCATCTCTTTCTTCACCTCTCTTCTAAAAGGCTACCAACACCTCGTTAAATAGGGTGAAGGGACATGTAAAGTGGCCTCCGCGTACATTAGGCTGAACCACGGACCACGTAATCGTAATCGTTAATTGTGAATTATGAATGGATATTGTTATATATTTGTATAAATGATAATAGTAACAAGTGAGCGAACAAAGGGGAGTAATCTCAAGGATCAGGAGGGGGAGGCGAAAGAAATGATAGCGAGATGGCGAGCCGGGAGGAGGACGAAGCGAAGGACCGAAGCGGAAAGAAAGAAGAAAGAGGAACAAGATCGTCGGATATACATCAGCTTCGTTCTCCGACCTTAAAGCTGATTGTCTCGACTAATCGATACAATTCGCACACCCGAAAGAACCAAACGGACTCTTACTGCGATCGCCCAGTTATCCGACGCATCTGTGACGTCAGTCGTCACATTCCAGTACTTCCCAAATACTGATATAACACATGCCGTCGACACAAGCAATGCGTTTTGTAAACTGTTTGTTGTTATTACTTGATTGTCTACTTTGATGTTTTGTTTAATATTCCACTTTCTGCGTTATTCTTACTTATTTCTTTAATTCTCGCTCGTATCCATTCTTTCCCCGTTTCGTTGGGATCGCATGAGAGGAGGAAAATCTTATAAAAAAAGAAAAAGAAATGAATGAATAAATAAAATAAAAGAAGAGAAAAAAACTACACGCAACGATCCGCAGCGAATCGATATTCTCGAAAGCCATCGCCCACGCCTACTCGTGTGAATATTGACTTTCTCCTTGTGATTTGATATAAAGCTATTATTGTACTTTTATGATGAGACCGCGATTATAAATATATACATATATACACACACACACACAAGACACAAGTATATAGAACGTCTCCTTGAGTACTCTTCTTTACTTAGATTTTCCCGATGTTCTACTTTCCTGTTATCGTCCTAGGTAAGTACAGCTACAATATTGACTTTAATTACGGTGATGCGCGGGAAAAGCTGGCAAACCAACCGTAGAAGTCAGGAACGAACGAGGTATATCCAACAGTAACCGAACTCTGCGGCTATTACTTAATGAAACGTCAAAGATTAACTCGAATCTCTACTTGTGTAGGAAAAACATAAATGTTTTTTATTTTCAAACAAATTTCCATGCATTAAAACGCGACGAAAAACTTATAAATCCTCGCGACACGACTTCATTAATATTTTAATGATTGCACAGAAAAAGCAAAACCAACAGAGATTGTTTCGGTTTATAAATACAATAATGACTATTAATTTATATAATCCTAAAGAAATAAACGTAATTAATAAACATAATTAATCTTGAAGAATCTCTAAATCTTTTTTTATAATCTGTGTAAGCAGAGATTTATTTTTATATATCATATTTATAGATAAATTAATTTTTTTGTAAAAATAAATGTCTATTTTTTTTTTTTTTTTTTTACTTATTCATTTTTACATCAAACAGGAATATTTAATTCAAACGACTCTGATAGTTAATTATCCAGTAAAGTTTCACGTAAATTGCTTTATTCGCATTATCAATCTAGCTTCGAGTTAATGTCCATTCCATTTCGCTCGACGACCACGTGTTCGACGCCTAGTTTCCAATTGCGAGTAACTGCCGTGAGGAACATCGACCTCGTTGGGCTCTATCGGGAATAAGAATCGCGAAATGGAGTTCTTAATTAGGATACGAGAAACTAGTAAATCGCCGTGTCACGCGACGAGGGAAACGGCGCACGTCAGCGGAGTGCCGGCGACTCTGTGGAAATTACATTCGACCGATTGTCTTACTTCCCCTCCGACAACTGGGGTGAAGCTGTGAATGACGCGAGAACTAGTCGTCAGCGCTCGCTGACATTCTGTTTGTGCTCTTCGATTCTCTCGTGTATATTACATCTCATCCGGGGGTTGTTATAATGGGCGACAGCTGTGGAGGAAAAAGGGATGAGTTTGAATTTCAATTTCATTAGAAAGGAATATCGCTTCTTTGCCGGACATCATTCATTTTGATGCACGGGCTTGCTCATTTTAGTAAAATCATATAAATGGGGAGTATGTTGAAAATACAAAGCCTTGATAAAACATGTAAAGCATTTTTAATAATTTGTAATAAGTTAAACCTGTCTGTCTGGATCAAATATCGGATTTTATATCAGAGCGAAAATTAAAATATATATCTGATTATTAATGAAATATTTAAAAATTTCAATAAGCTTTTAAATTTGCGGATGATGAGCGATTCGATAGTTAGCTTTATTACAGTTTATTAAAGAGATTTTGCATTTTAAATTACGTTTAATTGGAAAATGTTTATTTTCCAATTAAGTACATTTTTAAAAAACCGTACACAACTTCTTTTGCTTTAAATATTTTTTTTATCTTTTCTTGTCTTCTTAATTAAACGTTAATTTGAAAATATCGAGAAATAAACTTCAAGTTTCCTGTTCTGCAGTTTAATGTTTTAGTTTTAAAGTAAAGTTCAGTATCTATACATATGTAATATACGAAGTCAGAGAGAATCTCAAGTATGAATTCTTTTTTAATCAATTCTATTTCCTCGTCGTTCGCGAAGCGAAAGTTATTGCAAAATCATATAACTTCCATATTACTTCTCGACCACAAATGTCCCGAGGGAATGTCCGAAGGGGACAGATGTGGCTGACATTTTTTCTCGAAATATTGCCAAAATCCGCGCGCGAGTGAAACGAAGAACGGGAAGAGCAGAAGCGGCTTTAATCAAAGTTGACCTTTCTCCGCTGCTCCGAATCGTTCGTTTCCATTGCGCTGTTTTTCTCATTCGTTCTTGCGGAATCGGACGAATACGAAACTATATGCGAGCCCGGCCGTATCCGGAGGCAGGAAATAAATAAGCTTTCCGGTGTAAGAGTGGAAGTATTGCGGCGAAATAAAAGCGGGTAGTCGGCGGTGATTCGACCGGGTCAAAGGTGTTGCACATAGGGTGAAAGGCGAGGGTGGGTTGGTCAGGGTAAAAGGCAAGATCGATGTGGCGCCTCGGGCCGAAGGTTTTCCCTCGATCGAGCAGTTTATTTGAAGAATAAACAAGGCACTGCCAGAGGTCCCATTCTTTCTCTTCCAAGAGGGGTCTCTGCTCTAAAAAATTTCTCTTGAATTCGGAAATGAATGGTCCTGAATACAGTCAGTTGTATTATACCATTTTTAAGAATAAATAAAATGAAGTAGAAAAATAGAAGACTTGTAAAAATATTTATTAAATTATTAAGCAGAGAGAAATTTTTGCTATAAATTGTTATATATTATATTCTGCTATTTTATTCAAATATGATAAAATTTACATTTTTTTTTACGTAATCAACTAAAATCAATTTAAAACCAGATTTGACAATTGATAATAATTACAGATGAAAAAAAAATAGAACTGGCAAAAATTATTAGGAAAGGTACGTTTTAATAAGTAATCCTTATCATTTGTACACAGAATATCTTTTAGAATGCATGGATAATATTTCACGAATAAATTCTTTACTAAACTTTGTTGAATATCAAGTTTATTATTCCTTAGTTTTTATAATAAAAAAGCGGGAATTTGAGAATGTATACCTCAAGTTTGTTAGAGTTTTCACTGTACTCTCGTGCGAATAGGATTGTTGCTCAATGATATGCCAATAAGATGAGAAATTCAGCTACTAGTAATCCGTTATCGTAGATAGTGCAGTTGAACGAAAATAATCGTCGAAATATTTTTCCGCGAGAAGGCCGGAAACGCTAACGGCATTGCGGTAATGGGCACCGTGCGCGATTCAGAAACGCGGTAAGAAACTTTACGCGAGCGGAAAGTCGCGCGGAAAAGGACGACGGGGAGAAGGGAATAGGGAATATTCATCTCGGCTGCGGGTCCTTTTATAGTCACTTGCGGAGAGAGAGAAGATCGCATTTACCGCCGGCGTCAAAGCTTCACCATACGGCGCCGCGCGTTGAATGGAAAACCATAAAAACTCCGTCGCAAGAAACTTCATACCGCGATGTTTCTACCGAAGGGATCCGGATGTGTCATCTTTTCGCCTAATACTCCCCCCCTCCCTTAATTCCGATTTTTGCACGTAACCAGGCGGAAGTGCACAAATCTCCGATCTTTGTGAATCATAAAAGAGAGATTATTTCAGTTCCCTTAAATGAATAAAAGTTGAAAGCAATTAATTTCTCTCACGTACAAATGATTAAATATATAATGTAGATTTTTTGGTTCTTTTCGTTATCATTGAGATAACGTGGAATGTTATTTTGTCGTTGTCGAAGGCAAATATTAATTTTAAATACTAAAAAAACTAGAATAAATAAATTCAAATGTAATTAAATTAATAAACAAGTTTATTTGCGCATAATCTTATTTTCTGCATTTATTTTTGCAAGGAAAAGTGATATAAAAATTTTAGCATTGCCACTTCTCTTTTCCTAAAATTTATTCACGTAATTTCCAACACTGCTTGTTTTTAAAATTGCCATAGAATATTATATCTCTTTCTCTCATTTCCAAAACTCATTCGACATTGCTCGTATCGTTATTTCGAACCCTTCGAACATTTGATTCGTGCCGTTCGTTATTTCACCGTAATTCGATCAGCTATAGTTCTTCGTCACTATGGGAACGATCTGCTCTGGTGTGTAGTCCCTTCTAGTACACGGATAAATCATAAAACCGTCTGTCGTTTCCGGCAGGATGAACGAGAATCGACTTTCGTGTTCCCGGGTCCAGATGCCATAAACCTCTCCCTCCCTTCTGGAATAACATCTCGTCCCGAACTCGTTACCGTCGCACGGAAGAGCTGAACCCTCGTTGACTGTCAGCGTTCATCCGTAGCCATTTCCGGATCCCCGTTGACGTACACATCCACTCCTCCCCCCCCCCACCACACACACACACACAC